ATGCCTCCAATTCAGTTCTAAATGCCCTGCCAAAGGCTAAAGCTGCAGATTTTCCCTTCAAGACAGGAAACAAAACATGAGCACAACCCGTCTTATGTGGATCCTAATATTTCAGTAACATTTTACTCATCACTTAGATGTTTAGAGGAGTTTTACTAATTGAGCAGGTTTTCCTCCTCTTCAATATTGTGTTGAAGTGTTTCAAGCAACACTGATAGCACAATATTCACTAGAAGAATTTCACGCACCTGTTTAATTGCTGCACAAATGTCATTTATTGAAATTAACATTATGTCATTCATTTATTGAAATTAACATTATGAACACATAATGAAAAAATGCTCCTCCACAGAGGAAGATGAATGTTGACCATCAATAGGACAAAGCTATCTTCAAATGATAGAGATGGAGGTGACCGTTTCACAGTGAGGTCTGTAAGGACACAGGAGAAGGTTCATCTGTGTGTGTCCGCAGGTGGAAGGTTTTGGATGAGGAGGCTCAGGAACGTCTCCAGCTGTTTGCTTGATCTATATGCAATCAGTCCTCCCTGGTTGGCCCACCGATCCACTCCACTAGCGCCTACATTTTCCACGTGGTACAGCAGCTGTGGCAAAGCAAGCCCCGTTTCGGGATTTCTAGCTAAGCATTCTTTTAAGTCTACCATTCCCCCGCCCATGGCCCTGAGTATGGCATGAGCAGCACAAGAGTCCCACTTAAATGTGGTATCTTCTGAAAAGATGTAAACATCAACGAGGCCTTGGACAACACACAGGCTCTTGTAACCAGCCCCAGCTGCCCGGAATATGCGATCTCCACACACCCGTGACAATGCAGCTTTGATAGTCTCCTTTTCACTTGTACTAATGACAGCTGAAAACTGGTGAGAGAATTCCGCTTCAGAGCTGGGGTTTCCAGTCATTTGGCTCCGGGGGTCACTGCCATTTCTTTTAGAGATGGGGGGCGGAAGTGAGTAGATGTTGGTCCCCCTGTAAGAAAGGCCCCAGTAGCACTGTCCTTTCCACCTGTGGAAGAGAACTTTCAGTTTGTGGAGGTAGGGTATCACATTTGTTTTTTATTCATGCTGCTTTCCAACTTAATGATACGAAAAAATACAAATTATGTTGAGTCAATGCCCTTAAGCCTAGGAATAGATACCAAGTAGCTCATTAATTTCTAAAAGTTACTATGCATGCCGCTGCCTGTGTTGTTGCAGATTACAAATGCTTTCAGTTTTACAGCATTATCACATCAATCCAGGACAATGCTTAAATATTTGTGGGGTTTCCAGGCCTCTAGGAACACAGCAAAATTTCATTGCCACTGTTGGCATTTAATGTTTAATAGGGAAAAAGATGAACTTAAAATCTATTTTTACAATCTGCAAATCTTTTACAATCCCTATCAATTTTTCTTCACTTGGTAAACTCCTTTTCAATCTCTTACAAGCTCTGCTTTGGCTTTAACACCAAGGAAGATGGACTCCTTTATGGCAACAAAAATAATAATAGGGCCTATTCTTTCTTAATGTTCAAGTTACCATATATGTTGGGTAACTTAGTCTATTTACAGAAGAGGAAACTGAGGCTTAGAGAATGTAAGTGTAAGAATGTAAGTCAGTGGTGGAATCTGCATTCAAACCCAGGAATCTCACTCCAGAACCTTTGCCACTACTGTGCCAGCCATTTATAGGCCGTGCTTACCTCTGCATCCAGTCCCAATTCTTTTCAATTTCATAATGACTTTTTAAAGAAAACGGAAATCCATTTTTGGTTTGGAAGAAGGCAGGAGCAGAGGAAAAATGTCAAAAGTCCAGAGGTGTAGTTTATGACTATTGAAGAGCAAACAACTCTTAGTTGCCTGAAGCACCTGAAAGCTCAGTAAAACTACGTAGTCCTATACAAATAGAACGATATGACCTACTTCAATAAAAAAATTGAAACCACAGGAGAAAAGCTGCTTGCTTCCACTTGGACTCTGCTGTGTCCTGGATTCAACCCCAAAGCACAGGCCACGGATCAGAGGCAGTGGGCTGCCCTCTGTGCAGGAGTCCGTGGAAGGGTGAAGAGCTAGGAGAACAGGAGGCGACACTGACACACTTAGAGGAGGAGCACCCCATGGTCAGGTTCTAATCCTGGCCATAACTACTCATTGTTTCATTGGATAATTTTCACATTTTGTTTTGAATTTCTTCTAAAATTGTGTAAAAATTTAACAAGCTATATAGTGATAGCTTCTATCTTGTTCTGATTGTATTAGAAGGCAGTGTTCCCACCGTTCTGTCAATCTGGTTTTGAATGGATTCTGGGAATAGGGAACAGGATTTCTATATTCCACAGGCAAAACTTGGATTTCTCCAAGATACTATCTCTGTAAAGTTTCTACCAGCATGCCCCTAGCTCCAAATAAAATTATGCCAAACCCAGGATTGAAAATAGAAAGAACTTTCATTCAAGCATGCAGACTTTTAGTAGGAACACCCCAATGTATCGAGTCATAGGAACGTCACCTGGAGTGATAGTCTTGACCATAAGCAAAGCTAAGGCTGCCAATACTGAAAAACATATGGAAAATGTTCATCTTTTACCTGAGGGTGTTTAGGTCTTGTGATACGAAAGGTTGGTTGATGACCCCCATCAGGGGCATTCCTGTCTGTATGTCATAGACACCAATTAATATGGTGACGCACTGAAGTCCACTGGGGAAGATTCCTTGGTTGGGTTTAATGTCGGCAGAACCTTTTATATACTGATAAGTTGAATCTGAAAAATGAAGCAAATTTGTTTGGATTCAGGTAGTGATTATTTAGAAAATAATGAATACATCTATAAACTCTGTCCTATATAATTTCTTTCTTCTGCTAATTTAATAACTGCTATGGTCTGAATGTTTGTATCCTCCCCCAAAATTCTAATTCCCAAAAGGAATGGTATTAGTAGGTAGGGCCTTTGGGAGGTGCTTAAGTCATGAGGGCGGAACCCTCATCAGTGGGATTAGTGCCTTGTAAAAGAGGCTCCAGAGAGCTCCCTAGTAACCTCCCTCTATGTGAGGACACAGTGAAGTGCTGGTTATAAACCAGGAGGACGGCCCTTGCCTAACCATGCTGGCACCTGGATCTTGGACTTCCGGTCTCCAGAAATGTGAGAAATACATTCCTGGTGTTTACAAGCTACGCAGTCCATGGTATTTTGTTACAGCAGCCCAAATGGACAAAGACAGTAACCAATCGGGTTTTACCTTTGGGTGTCACTTCTATTGAATAGTTATTTGACCTCTTGTACTTCACTGTTAAGCTGCTTGTGTTTCATTTTCCTGACTGTATCGGAGCTCTTGAAGGGAGAGGACATGTCTATAGTTCTTGTGGCATCTAGCATAGCACCTTGTATATAATAAGCACTCAAATATTCATCACATGTCAAAAGCACATAAAAGCTTGTAATAACTCAAGATAACTAGCAAGATTTCTCAGAGCTCTTGATAATCAGAGGACAAGTCCAAGTCGAATGGGAAAAGCCTCCTTCTGGGAATCTGTAAGGGGCTGAATCACCTATTTGTTGTGGTTGTTGCTCACATTCTGAGGAAAGAGACAGTAATGGTGACACAAAAGGGAAAAAAAACAAATGGGGCTCCTGTGAGGAGCCTGGTTTCTCCTTAAGAGACATACATGCCAGTAGCTCACTGCCAACATCAAGTGAATTAACACCCAGTTACGGATATGCCTGGTCAAAAGATCAAGAGAGCTAGCTAATAGAATCAGTTCAGGATAGAAGCAAGAAACAAGAGATTCCTGTCCCTCAGAAATCTTAACTGATTCTGATTTACCCTTACCAGTGATAAAAACTTGGGGAGTCTTAGTTTGCATATATAACCCACTGGCTGAATGTTCTATAATTCCTTGGTGATTGAAGGCATTTCTATAATGTTGTGTTAATGTGCTTGTCGGTGGGGAGGGTGAGAGAGTTTGCTGCCCAGCATAATGAATGGTGCCAGTTGTGTTGGGTGGAATATGCCAGGTGGATGGGACAGAAAAAAAAAGGGAGGACTTCTGAAAATTAATATGTAGGGCATTGTTTTAATAGCATCATTGAGGTGAGGCCTACACTTTTAAAACAATGAACTACAGATTACGGTTCTATCACCATCATGACCAAAAAATTAGCAGGTGAGGTTTACACAGGGTTCACAAGCTGATGGCTCATGAGTCACGTTCAGCTGTGTTTTGCTTGACCTGTACAGTGGTTTTCATTGTTCACTTGTTTAATTGAATTTGCAGCCAGCAGTTAAAAGTGGGGAGATCTCACTTAAACCTGGACTTCAGTTTCTTTTTAAAAGTCTGAAGATCTGGCCTGTACTCCCTATAGGGCAGTCATCCACTGGAACTAAGTGCTCTTCCATTGGCTGTGTGCTCAATTCATTAAAGCTGCTGTCACTTCATTCTTCTCAGAGTTAGCGGGTGGCCCCTGCAGTCTTCCAGGGGTGAGTTAATTCAGGGCTGTGTGTGTGTATGTGTGTGTGTGTGTGTGTGTGTGTGTGTGTGTGTGTGTACGTACGTGTACACACGCACACATACAGATACAAACACCTAAACATCTGTTATATGTAATATACATGTATTTACAACACAACCCATCATAACACATACCTCAACTTTTCACTTATTATTTTAAAACTTGAAATTTTTTAAAATGTCCAGGAGAGTTAAACTACATTCAACTTTTATTTTTCTAAGCCCCACCCCCAAAGATTACTAGTAAGAACAAATGAACAAGAACAAAGGCACGACATCCTCTCCTTACCAATGGGATCCACCCAGATCCCCAGAATGTCCTGTGGAATGGTGATCTCCAGCGAATCCAGAGTGGGGTCAGTGAAGGCAACATCCTGATGAACAACCTTGGCTAATGCTTCAGATGCCAACGTGTTACCATTAAGGACTTTGCTAAGAAGCTCTACCGTTTCTTCCTCTGTTGGACACAGTCGCAAGGTAATCTTTTCTCCTAGAGTCAAGACAAACTAAAAGTCATCACATTCCAAGAGTTTCAGGAGAGAAAGAACAACAGAGAGGTGGGGGGGAGCCAAAGCTGTGCACTTAAGAGTTGGTGAGGGCAGAATATCCACACCAGTGGTTCCTCACCTGGCGGGCGGCCAGAATCACAGGGCTTGGGCATCACAGATGTCCAGTGGTCACTTATGCACTTACTGGGAATAGTGAGGGATGGGTTCCAGAAATCAAACCTTCTCCCCAGAAAAATGCCCACATAGGCACATGTGCATAATTTTGTATCTAGTTTAAGGGGACTCATGGGCCACTTTAAAACCTCTGAATCCTGAGTCCTTGATAATCAACCTTTTATTCATGCTTTTAGCCTCTGGACTTTTAATATACATAGCTTGCCCTATTGTGTTTGAATATGTTATTGAAAAGAACGAAGGTTTGCATCAGCACTCTAAAGTGCTTCTACCTCTTCTATGATGCAACTTTTAACTAAAAATTGTTTACGCTCAGTAAAGTAATATAAGTAATATTAAATTAACCTTTAATGGAGTAAAACCATGTGACTCTAAAGGACATACACAGAATAGCTCTCCTCTGTGAAACTCCCTGGAAACCAGGATGTAAGCAAATGAAACCACAATTGACCAAGCCTAGGTGCTTTACCATCACTTTAAACATGCCTCTATTTAGACTCTTGGTTAATCTGGTTTCAAGCTCCCAACAAAAGTAAGAAAGAGGCTGGCAAAAACAGGCAAATTAATAGCAACAAAAAGTTACAGGGAAAATATAAACTTATAAAAATGAATAAAACAGCACTTTGGGACTTTTTAGGTATATAGACAAATACTCCTTGCTACCTGAGCTATTCCAAGGACCAGCAGCATCTGCACCACCTGGGAGCTTGCTATAAATTCAGAAAGAACTTCAGGCCCCATCCAAAACCTACTCAGTTTTGACAAAATCCCCAGGTGATTCATATGATCATTCAGGTTTGGGAAACAGAGTATGAATATTACAGTGATGACTCTGAATCAGCAAGAAACATTCACATAAACTTAGTCAAGTTAAATTCAAATTAAATTAGACTTAGAGTTGAGGAATAATAATACTAATCACTGCCATTTACTAAGGATCTACACTGGGCTCAGTAAAAGTCATTCAGAGGAGCAAGTCATATCACATCACTTCCGTTACTTAAAATTCTCCAGTGAATTCCCATCACGTTTAAAGGGAAACCCAGACTCCCGCCGACAACCTTCCATGATCTGTTCCTGCCTCATCCACCAGTCCTTCCCCCTTCTCTACATTTCGGCCCCTCCAACATGTGAAGCCCAACATCTCCTTCTGTTCCCAGGAAAATGTATGTGAAGTGCCTTTTTGCCCCTAAGCTAGAGAAATTAAATATTGAAATAACTGTTTATGAAGTAATCAAACAGGATTTTACGTGTAGGATTTCTTATAAATTAGTCACAGGCGTTTTTTTTAACCTTCAGTCTAAATGAGATTTCTCTTCTTACTGTGTGTCACAGAATTAATTGCATTTTAACACATAGCCCATGAAAAAGGAAAACAATGTTCCAGAGTTAATCCAGAAATTAGTTTTTTCCTTTGCAAATGTGCCTCTAGATGTTTAACTTTTTGTCACAGGATCAGTGTTTAAAGTTCACTGTTTTAATCTTCTACCATTAAGCAAACAAAAAGCTAAATCTAAAAATAAAAAAGTTTATCTGAAAAGAATCAAATGGAGATTTTGATGTTTTCCGCAGGGAACATGGAGGTCAAAGGAGAATCTGACACACAGAAAATTAATTAAATGAGCCTTAAAGCTTGGTACTAAAAGGAACCATGTTAGTCCAAGTCCCTTTACAGAGTTCCTGAGACCAGAGAAGTGAGGTGATTTGCTCAAGATCCCAGTATTCAAGGACAGGGCTGCCTCCACATTCTCAGCCAAGGTCCATGGACTCCCAGGAGGTCCACAGATGGGTTTAAACCTTAGACTTGAAACTGTCTGAACAGTTGTGTAGATGTACATTTTTCTGGGGCATCTATAGCTTCCATTAGATTCCCAAAGGACCATGCAACTGTCCAAAAGTATACATTAATTGAATACTACAGCTTTATATCTAAAATAATACATGCGGATTTGCTAAAGAACTCTAGATCCCACATTTTTCCAACTTAAATGGAACAATATTCTGAAGAATGACGTTTAACATTCAAATATATTGTCGTTTACCCAAAAGCCTTACAAACATCCATTTATTTTATAATGAAATTGAAAATGAGAATATTATATAATTAAGTTATAAAAATACTTAAGATTTGTATACTTACCCAAATCATTAGTAAATTCATTGGATTCTTCTCCAAAAATTTTTTTTTCCAAGCCTGGAAACTGAATGATTCAGAGTATGACAACAAGCCAAAGCAATAACAATAATAATAAAAAAAACCCCACATACATATTCGATTGTGAATAGATTTCCATTTTATATTTCAAATTAAATAGCACAATTAGATCTGAAATTTAGAAATTTACAATTCCAGAAATCAACCTACGTATAAAAACGTGTCAGCTTATTAGTTCAGTATTTAGTTTTCTAATATTTTCCTGCTCCTTTGCCCCTTTAGAAAAATCATGGTAGAAGTCTGGTTTCCTTATTTACTGTTGAGTTTTCATAAGTATTTCTAGAAACTTCATCTTTATACTTATGGGCCATAGAACTAGAATATTTACAAAGGAGATATTTTTAGCTGTTGATCTTAATTAGCACCCTATTGTTTATATACAAGTTAACATTATGGATCAAGTACCTAAAATTATTACTTGAGACTGGATAGAAGGGATTAGAGGATAACTACATTTTTTTTTTCATTTTCCGGTATGTTTTCTGCACCTGTTGGAGATCTCATTCACCTTCAGGATAGGAAGATGATATAGCAAAAAAGGAAGAGAAATATTTAATTGACCAATAATTTATGCATCAATATAGAATGAAAAAAAATGGAGCTAAGAATCTTCTCTCATCTTTTACGTCAGGAAGCTTTCAGATACATTTTGCTTCTGATTCTCTCTACTGTAAAGATATTTTTTCTCAAAATCTGAGCCGAATTATGATATGCGTTATGTTCTCAGGGAACAAAAGCAAGGAAATGCTTCAAATATTTGAACTCAGTCATTTGCAGATGGCCAATAGCTTTAATAATGCCCACAGCCACTTGTTATTTTTCAATTTCAAACAACAGTGCAAGTCAACAGGGGCTGGCGTGAGCCTGCTGCAAGGGCCGCAGCGCAGTTCCCACGCCTGCTTACACACCTGTTTCCGAGGCTACAGGATGTGCGAGTCATGAAACCAAGATATTCTATGGAGCCAAAAGTGAACATCATGTATTTGTTCCTAAGTCCTGGCATATATACCTCATCAATTAGCAGTTGCCTGAACTTGTTATAATGCTTTAGGGCAAATATTAGCCCATAAAAGTTAATGTTGATACATTTCTAATCCAGTTGCTCAACCATGCCTTGCACCCAACTATCTTGATCAGTAACAAACTTGCTTCATTCAGTTTATTGGAGCCAGATATTATAGGGCATGAAAAAATATAGTTTGTAGAGATTTCAAGGAGTCATTTATTCTCTCTTCCTGCCTGTGGTCAAGAATCCACTTAAATGACTCCAAATGATTCCTAATATTTTGAGAATTTCTTAGATAACTATTCCAATATTTTATACTGCCTTCTGCCATAAAGTTCTATCCTCCCAAAGCTAAAAAATATATATCATTATTAGATCATATAGAAGGCATTATAGTATTGCAAAGAGCAGAGACTCCAGCCAGGTGGCCTGTGTTCAGAATTCGGCCCTGCCGTTCGCATGCTGTGTAACCTTGGGCAAGCTACTTAACCTCTCTGTGCTAGTCTTATCCATTACATAGGAATAATAGTTCTTACTTTGTAAAATTGTTATAAGAGTTAAAAAGCTAAATATGCCTTTAGAATAGTGCCTGACACATAGTATTCATTTATAAGTGTCTGTTGGTGTTATTGTTTATTATTACTATTTATGAATCCCCCTCAATCAGCTTAAGATAGCTAGAATCACAATCGTTGTTAGCTATAAACAATGTTTTTCTACTAGAATAAAGGAGTACTTTAAATCTCCAGGACTCTACAAGCGTGTAACCAAGGTAACCATTAGACAAATGATTACGTCAAAAAGGTGGGACTTAATATATCAAGTAAAAAGAAGTTATAAAACAGTATGTTCTCATTTCGGTTGAAATAAATTATACGTGCCATGCACACACATACACAGAGAGGGAAAATGTTCTAACAATATTTAGCAAAACAAAGCTGTGGTTTTCTCTATTGGTGGGATTAAAAGGATTATTTTCACTTATTCTCCAGAGAGTGTGTACTCTTTATTAAAAAGGAACTCATTAATAAGTGACAAGTTCTATACCAAAATGTTTCTCTTTAGCTGTTAGAATTGTGAGTGCTTTTTATTTCTTTATTTGCTTCTCTGCATTTTCAAATTTTTCTGCAGTGAACCTTTTGGTAATGTTGTAAAAAACAAGGAGGTAAAAAAAACCTACATGTTTGTTTATTGGAATTCAAGGTGCTTGTGTTCTGGGGGGTGCGGGGGAGCAGGTAGAGAAAAGGCAAGTTATTCTATCAGGGGACAAAAGCCACAAGGGCAAATATTTTGCAATTACCTCGACTATGACCTTTCTTACCTTGTTCTCCATATTCTGTTTTATAACTTCCTGTACCAGTACATCAGCCAGGGTCTTGAAATCAACTGCAAACTTCTTGTTCTTTTCTCCTTCTTTCTTTTCTTCTATGAGTAGCTGGAAAAGAGCTTCCTGCTGCCTGCATGCCCGGGCAATGTTGGCAGCTTTCTCAGAGACACGGAGCAGCTCTCGGAGGATCTCTGACATTTCAGAGCCTTGCTTTTCCGTTGCAGCTGTGGATGGAATCAGCACCCACTCGGCTGTCAGCTGGAAAAGTACAAGAATGTGAAAGAGAAAGCTGTTCAGAGAGTGATGTCAGGGTGCCTCCAATACTACTAACAATCCCTCGGGCCGTCAACCTGGTCAGCAGGGTTGAACAAGTATGTGTCACAGTGACATCCTCCATGTGGAAGACTAGACATCTAAAATTTGAAATTTAGTTTTCAAAAGCTTTAAAAAATATTTATAATCCCGAAAATCCATGAGGCAAAGAATCAGAATTCTCGGTGAAAGAATGTCTTTCAATGACAATCTACATTATATTTATAAATCTCTAGAAAAATAAACAGGTGGACACACAAGCATGATGTTAAAAGGAAAGCCAAAGTCTTGTAAGAGCCTTAGAATGATCGCACAGGCTTAGTGACAGTAATGTTCTTTCTGAAGTAATGTTCTTTCTTTCACTCCATGGGGGAAGGTGGGAGAAGTGAGAGAGGAGTTATCCTATTAGTTCTAGGGCAACTTCTTAAAACACCAAGCGCCACATTGGCAAGGACTGTTGTGTCCTGCAAGACTGGGGCAACTCTTGGGTTAGCAACCCAAGCGATTTCCTGGCCACCTTTTTTTTTCCCCCCATAAAAAAAGTCCCACTGTCTGTGTTGTTCTTCAAGCGAGAAAAAGGTTAAATAATAAAATGAAGTAAAACAGGCAACTTGTTGGGACTTGAAAAGCTCTGGCTTCTACGAGATCTGCTGTCACACTTTGATGTGCCTATTGGGTAATTAGGAGAGAAAAATTTCTCCTTTTTCAGTAACAGCTACATTTTAGTGAAAGTGTGAATAATTGCTATCTCATTACTGTGAGACTTATGATGAGGATCATCAGTCTGTCTTATAGTCAAGGAAACAGGAGCTTAGAGAGGTTAAGTAACTTCTTCAGAGTTACACAAGATTAAACGGCAGGGCCAGCAGCCGTCTTCCACAGAAGCCCGTGCTCTTTATTGTCATAATAAACACTTCACTTCTTTTTTAAAAAGCTCCCCTAATGGACTCTAGGAGACTGAGTAGTAGTACCCCAATGAAGTTGTCCATGCAATGAAGCGAATTGTCATTGTCTTGTGAATTGTCATTGCTGGTTTGAATTAAACATATTTGCTAAAAAAAAAAAAAAAATGCTGTTTTAAGATTATGGGTCAACCACCATGAGAAAATATGCCCAACCTCAATAGTAATAAAAGGAAAGTGAATAAAACAATGAGACATCTTTCTCTACTATTAGATAGACAAAGCAGCTTTTGAAGTGAACGTTCATTCTTGGGGAAGATGTGGTGAAACTGGTGCTGATACCCCACTGATGAGCATGCAAACAAGTGGGTTTCCAAAGGGCAATTAGAAAAAAAGGTGTCAAGTCACTACCTAGGGATGTCACTGCCTTGTTAGCCAGTTACTGCAGTCCTGCCTTAGTTTGTGTTAAGAAAGAGTTGAGTAAAAATATTTCTGCACAAGAAGGATTACTATTGTTTACAGTAGCAAAAAATTTAAAATAATCTTAAATATTGGTAAAATGTAAGACTACTATGTGGTCCTTAAAATCATGTTTTTGAAGAACATTTAATATGGAAATATGTTAATTCTATAATGTTAAGTGGATAAACAACCTATAACTATATATGTTACTAATTTGTGCATATATATATATATATATGTACACACACACAGTAATACCTTGGTTTGCGAGCATAATTCATTCTGGAAACAAACTACTCATATTGCAAGACCTTGCTAATTTACCACGTTAAAATGTATTAGAAATGTTTGCTTATCTTGTGGAACACTCACAAACCACGTTACTCGCAATCCAAGGTTTTACTGTATATACATATACATGTGTGTAATACATCCATATATATTGTATATGTATACACATATACAATATATATAAAGAAAAAGAGAGATTGAAAGACTAGTAGATGATTTTGTTTTTTTAAAGATTTTATTGGGGAAGGGGAACAGCCAAGTTGTCCTTCAATCTTAGTTGTGGAGGGCGCAGCTAGCTCAGCTCCAAGTCCAGACGCCATCCAGCTGCCACTTAGCTCAACGTGCCCATGTTCAACCTTAGTTGTGGGTGGGCGTAGCCCCCCCATCCCAGGTGGCAGTCCAACCCACAACCGTGTTGTTAGGAGCACGTGCTCTCACCAGCTGAGCCATCCTGCCACCTGTAGGCAGTTCAGCCGCAGCTCAGCTCGGGCACAACTCACTGGCCTACGTGGGAATCTAACCAATGGCCATGTTGCTCAGAGCTCGCATTCTTAACCAACTGAGCCACTCCGCCGGCCCCCTAGATGATATTTTAATGATAATTTCATATATATTTAATGTTATCACTGAGTACTGGAATTGTGGGTGACTTTTTTCCATTACGCTTTTCTATAATTTTCAAATGCCCTACAATAAATATATGCTGCTTTTATAATAAGAAATGACATTTTAAAATATCTTGGGATATTTAAGTTTGAAACACAAGAATTCCTCATTCCTGGAGACAGTTGTCCAAACAAAGTAGTACTATGTTAATAATGCAGAAAAGCTGTCAGGTGGTAGAGAGAATGGCATAAAAATTAAACAGAAGCATCTGCCTGCTAAATGCCTTTTCTTTCAGGAATGAGTGATATGTTCAAAGATTCATGTTGGTTTACTTAAACCTAAACACTAAGAAAAACAGTTACATTAATATGGCTGAGGCACTTTCATGTAGAAATAACTATGACATCTGTATGCTATAAATTATTATTATATATAACATATACACAATCAAATACTTACGTCTTAGTAGAATATACAAATCCTAAGAGTATAAATTCACTACCTTTGATAATTTTGATTTCTTTGTAAATGTTCCAAGATTTTTATAAGGGAAAAGAAGGAAGCAGCAACAGTTATCTGAATAGCTTTTTATCTTAAAAATAGCATGAAGATTTTAAGGAGTCCAATTTGAAAGCTTTCTAGGTAAACAATATCAGTATAGTGTATTTTGCTCAATTTTGTTAAAACCTATTTTTCTTTTTTTCTTTTTTACCCTAACAGAAACACCAAGAAACTCGCCCTCTGGCACCCGCAAAACACTCAGGAGAGCTACTCCCATAGGCTGCAAGCTCCAGGAACCACCTCACCCCTCCTCTCACACAGGAAGCTCACTGACTTAGCCCTGGTAAGTTTCTGCACAGCTGCCCCAGGGAGCTGGACTTTCGTCTCTTTGGATCTGACCTTTATTTCCTCAATAATGACCATTCTCACCTCACCCGAGCCTAGCAACTTGACCCCTGAGAAATACCAGCTTTACACTGCGGTCCTGTAATTTATAAGTACACAGATTTTAGGAATTTTTCTGTAACAAGAATCAGGTTTTTCAGTTCCAAAGTTATCCCCAAGTTCAACCTTCATCACTCTTTATTCTGACCCTAGACAACGCTGTCACATTTTGTCAAGCTCCAGCTTGAATGCCTGGTGTCAGCTTGGGACTAAGCTTTCTCCAGCCATCCAATAAAAATCTCATCCTATGAGAGAACCCAGCGTTTCTTCACCTATTTACCTTTCTCCACAGTCCAAGCTCCCTAAAAAAGTCTCTCATAGCTATCATCAACTACATGCGAGACTAATTAATTTGCATAGCTAGCCCGCTACTTTCCGGCTGAATGGACCATTTCCTCCAAATGAATGGAAACATCGTTCTTCGTGCTTCCCTATAAGCTGCTGCTTTTTACTGTTTATCTCTCTGTTCTCAACTCTGCTCACTCAGGCAGGCCACAGCTCTGAGGGGAGTACTAGTACTGGATAACTCATTCTCACCTTGAGTGACTTGAGATTAACTGTCTACAGAGAACCTGAGGACTACATACAATACAGAAGTTCTTCAGGTTTATTAATAGCTCTTATTAATACTTGTGGATAATCTTTTAGATAATTTTTATTTTAAGGTTTTTATTAAAATATAGCTAACATACAATATTGTATTAGTTTCAGGTATACACCATAGTTATTCCACATTTATCCCTAAAGAAGTGCTCACCATAAGTCCAGCAACCATCTAACACTGTACCATGCTATCACAATATTATTGACTATATTCTATTCCCTATGCCGTAGATTACATCCCCGTGACCTATTTGATTTATACCTGGAAATCTGGACTTCTTATTCCCCTTCACCTTCCTCCGCTTTTCCAATATTTCAATTACAGTTTACATTCAATATTACTTTATATTAATTTCAGGTACACAGCATAGTGGTTAGACATTTAATAATTTAAGAAGTGATTGCCTGACTAGTACCCACCTGGCACTATACAGTTATTTCCATACTATTTACTGTATTCTCTATGTTTTACTCTACATCACCATGACTATTTCGTAACTACCAATTTGTACTTAATCTCTTTACCTTTTTCACCATCCCTTCAATCCCCTCCCATCACCCTGATAAATCTAGTACCCATCACACACCATACAAAGTTATTACATATTATTGACTATATTCCTTATGCTATACCCTACACATCACCATGACAACTTTGTAACAACCAGTTTGTACTTCTTAATTTCTTCCCCTTTATCACCCACCGCCCCAACCACCCTCTTGTCTGGCAACTATCAAAATGTTCTCTGTATCTATGAGTCTGTTTTGTTCTTTAGATTCCACATATAAGCGAAATCACATTGCATCTGTCTTTCTCTGTCTGACGTACACCACTCAACACAATACCCTCCAGGTCCATCCATGCTGCCAATATGGCAAGAACCCATTTCCTTCCATGGCTGAGCAATATTCCATTTATATACATGTACTATCTCCTCTTTATCCATTCATCCATTGACAGACACCCAGGCTGCCTCCACATCTTGGCCATTGTAAACAATGCTGCAATGAACATATGGATGCACATGTCGTCTTGAAGTAGTGTTTTGGGTTTCTTCGGATAAATACCCAGACGTGGGATTGATGGGTACTTCTTTGTCTCTTGTTAGAGCCTTTGTTTTAAAGTCTATTTTGTCTGGTATAAGTATTGCTACCCCAGCTTCTTTTGTTTGTTTGTTTCCACTTTCATAAAATAACTTTTTCCCATCCCTATAATTTCCATTTGTACATATCTTTTGATCTGAAGTGAGTCTCTTGTAGGCAGTATATAGAAGGGTCTTGTTTACTTGTCCATTCAGCCACACTATTTTTTGATTGGAGCATTTAATCCATTTACATTTAAAGTAACTGTTGATAGATATGTAATTATTGCCATTTTATTATTCATATTTTGGATTTTTTTTTTCATCTTAAATCTCCCTAACGTTTCTTGTAATACTGGTTTAGTGGTGATGAACTCCTTTAGCTTTTTCTTATCTGGGAAGCTCTTTACCTGTCCTTTGATTCCAAATGATAGCTTTGCTGGGTAGAGTAGGTTGTAGGTCTTTGCTTTTAATCACTGGATATTTCGTGCCAATCCCTTCTGGCCTGCAAAGTTTCTATTGAGAAATCAGCTGACTCCCTTGTAGGTAACTGCTTTTCTTTTGCTGCTTTTAAGATACTCTCTTTTCTTTAACCTTGATATTTTAATTACGATGTGTCTTGGTATGTAATTGGGCCTCTTTGGGTTCATCTTGTTTGGGACTCTCTGTGCTTCCTGGGCTTGTATATCTATTTCCTTCACCAGTTTAGGAAAGTGTTCCCTCGTTATTTCTTCATATAGGTTTTCAATTCTTTGTTCTCTCTTCTCCTTCTGATAATTCTATGATGCGATTATTGGTATGCCTGATGTTGTCCCAGAGGCCCCTTAAACTATCCTCATTTTTTTTTCTTTTCTCTTTTTGCTGTTCTGATTGGGTGTTTTCTGCTACCTTATCTTCTAAATCACTGATTTGATCCTCTGCTTCATCTAATCTACTGTTGATTACTCTAATGTATTCTTCATTACAGTTATTGTATTCTTTATTTCTGACTGGTTCTTTTTATGTTTTCTATCTTTATTTTTATGTTTCCTTTCTCTTTGTTGAAGTTCTCCCTGAGATCATTGAGCATCCTTATAACCAGTGTTTGGAACTCTGTCTGGTAGATTACTTGTCCCCATTTTGTTTAGTTTTTTCTGGAGCTTTGTTCTGTTCTTTCATTTGGGACATGTTTCTTTGTCTCCCCATTTTGGCTGCCTTTCTGTGTTTGTTTCTATATATTTGGTAGGGTTGCTATGTTTCCTGGTCTTAATAGAGTAGCCTTATATACCAGGTATCCTGTAGGGTCCAGTGGTGTGGTCTCTCTAGTCACCTGAGCCAGGTGCTCCAGTAACTTGTATGTTCTTTTTGTGGGTTGTGTGTGCCCTCCTGTTGTAGTTGAGCCTTGGTTGCTGTTTGAACATCAGTGGGAGGGCTGATTGGTTGTGAGGACTGGCTGTGACTACAATGGAGGAGCTGTTGTGAGGGCATTGACTTAACGGAGCAGGATTCACTTTAGCAGGGCTCTGGTGCCTTCCCAGTCTGCCCTTTGGCTATGTTGTCCTTGGAGGTGGCTGGGTGATGCCTGGGCATGGTCCAAAGCTGGCCACTAGGTATGCCAGCCCCAGGGCCTTCCTGGTAGGGGCCCTGCCATAGGCCAAGTTCATCCACAGCCTGTACCCTGCTTGGGCCACCTGGCACGAGCCACAAAGCAATCCGCAGATGGCCGCCACCCATGCTGGGCTTGGAGGTGCTTCAACAAGCCAAGCTGTGAACTAAAGCTGGCTGCTGCTAGTGCCAGGCTTGGGGCTGCTCAGCAAGGGACATGGGACACGCTGAAGCCAGTTGCTGCTTGTTAAGTTCTGTGAACCTTTGAGAAGTTTTAGGAAAATCCTCAGCATGAGCCAAGACAGGCTTTTTGTAGATAAAAGGTTGGGTGTGCCCGAAAGTTAGGTCGGGCAGGGTCTCAGGGAATCACCAGGGCAGGGCTAGGTTGACTGAAACTCAGATACAGTTTGCTTCTGTATCTGCATATGTCTGCATGCTGGGAAAGGGGAGGGCTCAACAAAGAAACAACGGATTCTGCCAGCACGTCTGTCTGAAGAAAACTGCCCCTCCAGCCCTTGCCCTGAAGCCGGATAACTCAGTTCCTCCCCATATGTCCCTGGCACCTTTTGAGCTGCTGCCCCAGCACTGATGCTCAGAGCAAGTGAGACTGTCAGTGAGTAAGTCTGTGCATGGGCTCTTTAAGAGGAACACCTGGTACTCCCTCCATCCTCTGTCTCACTCAGCCACAATCTCCACTGGTTTTCACAGCCAGAAGTTACGGGGACTACTCTCCCCGGCACTGGAACCCTGGGTTGGGGACCCTGGTCTGAGGCTGGGGCTCCTCGCTCCTCCAGGGGGTACCTCTGCAGAAAATATATCCCTCTCGATTTCTAACAGTCACACGTGTGTGGACCAGCCTGTTTCGTGTCTCTGCCTCTTTGACCAGTCTTGAGGTGGCTTCTTCTTAGTTGTAAGGCTTCAGTTCAGCTAGTGATTCTCAATGATGGCTGCTCTATAGTTTAGTTGTAATTTCAATGTGGTTGTGAGAGGACACAAGCACAGCATTTACCTACTCCGCCATCTTGACTGGAAAACTCTTTTGGATGATTTTTAAAAGCAAGTTTATACACTCATTACTGATATGTTAGTTTTATTTAAACATTTCAAATACCTTAAGTGAAATTATTACGAACTCATAATTAGCAAGTTATGACATTAACCATAATTTAATAGCTTTGACATTCCTTTAGTATTTTTTTTTAAGATTTTTATTGGGGAATTGGGGGGATGGGAACAGCGCTGGGGAATTGGGGGAAGGGTAACAGTGCTGGGGAGTTGGGAGAAGGGGAACAGACGAGTTGCTGTCCTTTTGTTCTTCAGTCTAGTTGTGGAGGACGTTGCTTCATTGGCCCAAGTTGGCACCATCATTGGGCCCTCTGGCGTCCCAAGCCAGTTCTTAACCATCACGCCACTCGGCCGGCCCTCCTTTAGCATTTTTTAATGGGTGCTCTGAGAACTACCTGTATCAGAATTACCCCAGGTATCTACTAAAAAGACAGATTCCTGGGCTCCATCCTAACATAGGAATCAGAATCTCTGGACACAGAGTCCAGAAATCTGTATTTTTGTCAGCCTCTTAGATGATGCTAAACACTGAGATTTAATAGCTACTGTACTTCAGGTTGCTTAT